GGCTTCCCTAATTTTGAAGGTTCTCATTATCCATCCTATCATTTTCTTAGTGGATGAGGTAGTACATTGTTGTGGTCTTTGAAGGTGATGGGACAATAGTGCAAGGTATCATGTCCCAAAGTACTCGATTTGCAATAAGGGAGAGCAATGGCAGATTTCCACAGCTGGGGAAGAACTCCTTGTGACCAAATAAGATTAGAGTCATAAGAGGGCTGCAAGGGCTGACTGATGTAAGTGCTGTAGCATACGAATATGAATGCCGACAGGCCCAACTGCCGATGATCGGCAAGCTGAGAGTGTTGCTTCCAGTCCCAGAAGTATCAAAAGCACATTATAAGTTTTTTCTTTGATAGAAGAAAAGTTTGAGGGCTCTAACTCCCTGGCAGACTTTGAGGAACGAAACAAAGGGCATAGATGAAGTCCCTGAGAGATACAGACAAGAAGATTACCAATTTCGGTGGCAATGTCAAGAGTGTTTGCAATATCAACACCGGCAACCCGAAGAACTGGAGCCGGGTTGGAAGAGTATTTACCACTCAGTTTCCATAATTAGCACTCATAGTGGAAGCAGAAGTGACAGTAGTAACATAATCCTGCCAGCAAGTGTCACGGATGACACGGCGAGCCACCACTCACTCCTGCTTAAAATCAAGGAGTTTCTCTGTGGTTCTATTGTACCGGTACCAGCCCCATGCAGCGCATTTCAAATGTACTGCCCGAGCACAAGCAAGAACCACCAAGGCACACACTTCTGAGAATGCCTGCCAGAGGTTTAGGGTATAGAATGTGAAGCTGCAGTTAAAGCTGGGGTCAAGAAGAGGTGTAAAAGCTCATCAATGAAGGAACCTCACTAAAAGCAGTTAGATGCGAGTAAAGGTCCCAACTTGCTTGGCCACTGTGGGCTATGAGGAGGTGATGAATACGAAGTTGAAGTAAGGATGATTGGAAAATGATCGATGTCATGTAAGTCCAGGAGGACAGGCCAGGTGAAGTCTAGTACAGTTGAGGAAGAGCAAACCGAGAGTTCGATGCAAGAGAGAATGAGTACAAGGATCAAAATGGGTGGGAGTACCCATATTTAAAATATGGAGGGGTAGAGAAGTGAGAAAAGCCTCCACCTGTGTTACAAAAAACGCAATTTCTAATAAGCATAGAGACCTCCAATGAATACTAGAAAGGACTGCCCTTCTAGCATCCAGCCTGTTACTGGGTTTTCGTAATAAGTAGTCAGTATCCTGGTCCAATTATCCATTAGAATTCAACAATAATTATTAGTGCTTCAGGATTGCAACTGGTAGGTTACTAAAGAAATTAAAATTTATTAAGTTTATTAATAATAAAGATGTCTAGGAGTATATTATCAAATTAAATTAAATTAATCAAAGTAATCAAAATAATAATAATCACTTCCCTCGTGTATAGTAATATTGTGCTGAAGGCACATATCACATTTATACGTCTTCAGTACTGTCTGGTACATTAACATTTAATAATACATATATATACTTACATATATATACATATATATACTTACACTTAGGTCACACTACACATACGTGTACAAGCATATATATACACACCACTCTGGGTTTTCTTCTTTCTTTCTAATTCTTGTTCTTGTTTATTTCCTCTTATCTCCATGGGGAAGTGGAACAAAATTCTTCCTCTGTAAGCCATGCGTGTCGTAAGAGGCGACTAAAATGCTGGGAGCAAGGGGCTAGTAACCCCTTCTCCTGTATATATTACTAAATTTAAAAGGAGAAACTTTAGTTTTTTTCTTTTGGGCCACCCCACCTTGGTGGGATACGGCTGGTATGTTGAAAGAAAGAAAGAAGTTTGTGTGTATGTGTGTAAGTGCTCTAAGTAGTTCGCTATGTCTCACGACTCGACTAGACTTAAACCAGTGACTGACAAAGTCCTCACATAAACTAACTTCTTGACCAACCTGGCAATCAGAACAGCTTGCTTGAACAATAAAACGACTGATTAGCCGAACAGCAATATAACAAGCAAAAGTGACACAAAATCAGGAACAAGGAGATAATATAACGACACTAAGTAGGGACCATCTGCAGATCCTCTACAAAAGTCACAAAACTCCCATACTACTGAATCTAAGTTCAGCATTAGAAAATCCCCGACTGTGACAGTGCACAGATACCAGTACAAGTTAGGTCAGAAGCTACAGCTCAGGACCTGAGTTTCTCAGAGTGTCTATGCGACACGCAACCTCAGTACAATGTCGAAAATCACTAAATCTAGGCAATGTTCTGTGAACAGAGTTCCACTGAACCAACAACAAGAAAGCGACACAGACGATCTTCCAACAAGGGCCAGCAAGAGAGAGCTAGGCACGTCTTGTTCAGAGAACGTCCAACAGACCAGAGAGGGCGAGTAAAAGCAAGACAGTCTCACCCAGGTGAGGTATGAAAATTTGTGTGGACTGCCTCCAAGTGAGTCACCTACCCTGGCAAACTCTGTTGACACCGAGCTCTGAGCTGGGTACCTCAGCCTCACAAGTGGCTTATAGGACAGATTTTCACAAATGATTGATGTTGCAAGAAACTCGCCTGCATGCACATATAAAGGACTAACTTACTTGGTGTTGCAGTATATATCCTGATCTTCAACTTTCCTAAGCTTAGCCTTAGCCCCTTTGGACTTCCCCTCAGAAACCACGTGCAACCGGGAGCCTTAATTCCTGCAATATTCAATCGTTATTAGTCCTGCCTGCACTCAGAAATTCCTATATCCCAAAAGGGGATGTATCCCTAGTATAACTATACAGACACGGACACTAGCTTCCAGACTGCCTTGAGACACTGGTACTTACTGGCATGCACTGCCCGTTTTCACACCGAGCCCCCAGATCAAACTCACTCCAGTTCTCCCCAGACATGGCCAAAATCTAAGAGATAAAAATGGAGGTCTTGTCCCTTACTTATGGGCCTGACGGGTCATCTACGGTACATCGAGGTGCCTTACCAGATTCCTAGGTCTCAAATGTGAAGACACGTGGGGGACGCCGTCTTGATCACGGCACATCTTGTCCAGTTTTGGTGTCTGTCTTAAGAAGAACGAGCTGGTCTCTCTTCCGGCCCTCGTCTCTTCGTTCAAACTAGGGCCTGCCAGTTCTCCCTAGCTAACTTATCTAGTGTTGCCTACATTATCGGCCTATTACTACCTATGTTAAGGTCTTAGGTCTACATTATTATTATCTACAGTTGCCTCAATGATCCTAATATTAAGTGTACTACCAGTAAAACTACCTACTCCTTCCCTGAAGGGTAAATCTATAAATTAAATAAGCTTACAACAATCCACGCCAACTAGAGAATGCTTTGTTTTGGGTGGGGTAAAAGGGCCACCCAGCTCAGCCGTCCTATTACGGCTATGCTGGGACCCCTTCGTATGTCGTATCTGTCCTGTGGAACTTTAGGGATCAAATAAATTTCCACATGAGGTGTGATCACCCCCCCCTGGTCACGTGACTCTGTGCTACTGCTGCTGCTGCTGCCCAGCATTACCGAGAAGTCGGCAGGGAAACGAGCAACGAGCGATAATTACAGTAGTTAGACAATCAAGACTTGAACTACGAGCACTGAATAATATATATAAATGTTACATCCTACCTAATAATATAACTAAGTCAAATAATAATACAAAGCAATATATTGATGATTTAGCTATTATCGCAAATATAAGCAACATAAAATTACATGAACAGGTAATATACATTATATACCTTGCGACCCATTCAGGGGTCGCAATAACCTGAATGCTGCGGGAGTCACAGTGAGACATCATCCCCAGAGGATATGGTAAGCATTAAAATCGCCAAGTAACAGAAGTGATGGCGGTAAGGAAGAAACCAGAAATGCAATATCTGGAATAGATAATGCCCGAGAAGGAGATACAAAGAACAGACTGTATACCACTTGTTCAAGTGGATATGGGATGCAGTGTAATGCAGCGAAGTATGAATAAAGAGCTGACGGTACAGAATACTGGTGCGTATAAAAGTGCACTTTCATTAAAGGATCGGGACACCTCCTGGTGATCCAGATTTCATGGCAAACTACACTACCACCAAGGACCTCAATGGAATGGGATTGACCCCAGTACCCTTCCCCCTACCTAGGAAGTAGAGTGCCTGTGGGAAGAATCCCACAGGCTGAAAATAGGAAGGGAATAGGGGAGGGATGAGGAGGAGGAAGAAGGGGAAAAAGGGGAGGATGGGATAGGGAAGGGAGGATTGGGGGGGTGATTACATTCAGTCTGAGAAAGGAGACCAAAAGGTCTAATTCCTCAGACCAAGAGCCTCTTCACCGCACCAAGAAGCACCCCTTGAGGAGGTAGAGTGAGCAGAAATTGAAGAACCGTCGTCAGCAAATGGTCAGCCTGAGGGCCCTGAATCTGCACTCTTTAGAAAGGCATAGAATTAGGGGAGATATGACTCAGGTGTATAAATGGAAAACAGGAATAAATAAAGGGGATGTAAATAGCGTGCTGAAAATTTCCAGCCAAGACAGGACTCGCAGCAATGGTTTCAAGTTGGAAAAATTCAGATTCAGGAAGGATATAGGAAAGCACTGGTTTGGTAATAGAGTTGTGGATGAGCGGAACAAACTCCCGAGTACAGTTATTGAGGCTAAATCTTTTTGTAGTTTAAAAATAGGTTAGATACATACATGAGTGGGTGTGAGTTGGACCTGACTAGCTTGTGCTGCTGGGTTTGGTGCCGTGCTCCTTCCTTGAGTGGAGGTGACCAGATTGGGTGGGTCATTGGGCTAATCCGGGGGGATGGGAGACATGGACCTGCTCTGCATGGGTCAGTAGGCCTGTTGCAGTGTTCCTTTTTTCTTATGTTCTTATTATTCTTATAAACCTCCACCCTGACTACCTCACATTAGTATTAAGGTAAAATAAAGATTTATTACAAAGTTAACCATTCCTATCTTGTCTAAACTTAAGTAGTTATTGTGTACTAGGATTAGTTTGCCCGAAATGCCCCGGCATGGAAGTGGCTTTCTTTGTACTTAACAAATCAAAATTGTTTTTACACATTGTAACCTTTGCAAAGAAATAAAAGCTTTAATCTTCTTTGTAAAACATTATTTGCCACATTCCTCCATTTTAGGTGTCTTAAATTGAAATCATCCTTCAACAAGACATCTGGGGCTGGGATTGTTAGATTTTCAATAGTAGTCAGTTTTCAAAAGCTGTTCCTTGAATTGTTAGGAAGTTGCATCTGGTGGCTTGTATACAATCACAATAGTGTTTAGTAATTCTGAGCAAACGAGTGACTCTGTGACATCCAGTCCAAATCCCACTTATTGCTTTTTTTTTTTTGTTTGTTTGCACATCTAAATAAGTTGCACCCTATGACATGCAACAAGATAGAGCAAAGGTCAAGATAGAGCAAAGGTTAGAGGTATCAATAGGGTCAGCTTGAACACCTGTTCTGCTAACAAGGTGTTGCCCAAAAACAGTACTGGGTTCATGGGTGGGTCGTGGTCAGGTGAATGTACAGCAGGGGGTAAGGGACTCCCCTCTTGAAGGGACCACACAATAAGTTAGCTTACAAAAATGCATTTTGAAGTCATAAGGATAAAAATATATCAATTTTTTTTTCTTACTTTTACTCAGAATTACTTGCGTTTTACAAAATAGGAAGATATAGCATGGTAGAGAGGCAGAGAGAGATACAGGATGATTAAGATGGTGTATAAATAAATGGTGGTTAAAATGAAATGTAGGGGAAATCATCCAAAGAAAAGTTGGGGCTTCATCATCCAACATGTGTATGAGAGAGATCAACAATAGAGAGAGCAAACAGTCTCTGGAATTTGATGTGATATTTGAGTGCAAGCACGTATTTGGAAATGGGTTTAGGAACACCAGTTTTAGAGGTGAGAAATAATGCGTGCATTATGATTCAGATGGACTTGTAGTTTGGTAACTTGATATGTCTGTCTTGCCAAGGCAGCTAGAAAGTGATGATGGATGCATTTTCTTATTTAGTTCAACCCTGCCTTGCCAAAGGTAAATGACAGCAAGGTACAGCTGAGTTTGAATAAATGGTTTAGAAAATCGACAAGTTGATAAATGACACACTTGTGCAACATTTGGCTATCTTTATTCTGGAAACTTTTTGCCAATCATTGGTTTCTTCAGTCCAATGTAGACAAAGGTGGAAGATGAGGAATAAATATGTCCAGTCCATCAATCTTGATAAAAGTGAAGCCACTGGTTGGCAAAATGTTTCCAGAATAAAGATACCCAAATGTTGCACAATCATCTCATTTATCAACTTGTCAGTTTTCTAAATCATTTATTCAAATTCTTGGTATCTTGATGCAAGGATTTTTTCAAAACTTGTCTAACCTACAGACACGGCCTACTTCCACTAGTGGGTTTTTCCACTAGTGAATCCGCTTACCATTGCTCCACCTCGTCTGTCAGAGGTATATAAGCCCCATATCTGTGAATGTGTTGCATTTTCATCAGATTGATGGATTGAACACATCGACTCCAGGCTGATGGACTGATTACTTCAAACTCCTCCTTATCTTCTACCTTTGTCTGCATCAGACTGAAAAAGTCACTGGTTGGTGAAACATTTCCAAAATTGATACTCAAATGTTGCATAAGTGTCTCATTTATCATAGCTGGAGTTCCCACTCCAGCTATATTTCTTTACAGACTTTCCTTCCAGCCTTTCCTTGGAGTTCCCTTACATTTCTTTTTATCAACCACTTATTTTTTTTATTTTATTAACACACTGGCCGATTCCCACCAAGACAGGGTGGCCCGAAAAAGAAAAACTTTCACCATCATTCACTCCATCACTGTCTTGCCAGAAGGGTGCTTTACACTACAGTTTTTAAACTGCAACATTAACACCCCTCCTTCAGAGTGCAGGCACTGTACTTCCCATCTCCAGGACTCAAGTCCGGCCTGCCGGTTTCCCTGAATCCCTTCATAAATGTTACTTTGCTCACACTCCAACAGCACGTCAAGTATTAAAAACCATTTGTCTCCATTCGCTCCTATCAAACACGCTCACGCATGCCTGCTGGAAGTCCAAGCCCCTCGCACACAAAACCTCCTTTACCCCTTCCCTCCAACCTTTCCTAGGCCGACCCCTACCCCGCCTTCCTTCCACTACAGAGTGATACACTCTTGAAGTCATTCTGTTTCGCTCCATTCTCTCTACATGTCCGAACCACCTCAACACCCCTTCCTCAGCCCTCTGGACAACAGTTTTGGCAATCCCGCACCTCCTCCTAACTTCCAAACTACGAATTCTCTGCATTATATTCACACCACACATTGCCCTCAGACATGACATCTCCACTGCCTTCAGCCTTCTCCTCGCTGCAACATTCATCACCCATGCTTCACACCCATACAGGAGCGTTGGTAAAACTATACTCTCATACATTCCCCTCTTTGCTTCCAAGGACAAAGTTCTTTGTCTCCACAGACTCCTAAGTGCACCGCTCACCCTTTTCCCCTCATCAATTCTATGAGTCACCTCATCTTTCATAGACCCATCCGCTGACACACCCACTCCCAAATATCTGAATACATTCACCTCCTCCATACTCTCTCCCTCCAATCTGATATCCAATCTTTCATCACCTAATCTTTTTGTTATCCTCATAACCTTACTCTTTCCTGTATTCACTTTCAATTTTCTTCTTTTACACACCCTACCAAATTCATCCACCAACCTCTGCAACTTCTCTTCATAATCACCCAAGAGCACAGTGTCATCAGCAAAGAGCAACTTTGACAACTCCCACTTTACGTGTGATTCTTTATCTTTTAACTCCACGCCTTATACACCCTCTTAATCATTCTGTCTCCATTCTTTCTACCTAACCAAGCCTTCTCAAGAACTCCTTTTCTATACTCTGAATTATGCCTCTCATTCCACAACACCATCTTCCTATCTCTATTTTTTCAATTACTCCATAATATTAACACCACTCTCATGACATTTTCATTGCCTCCAGGCACCTCCTGAAGTACACCCGAAGAGTGTTTCAGGGGTTAACACCCCCGCAGCCCAGTCCATGACCAGGCCTCGCAGTGGATCAGGGCCTCATCAACCAGGCTATTACTGCTCAGTGCATGCAAACTGATGTACAAACCACAGCCTGACTGGTCAGGTACTGCTTCACACTCATGATAGATTTCCATTGTTTTTCATCAAAAACTTTTTTTTCTTGGATTCTTTAACAATTTTGCATCTTTCTTATGACATCTGTGATTTACCTCATCCTTCATAGACTTTTAAGTATCTAAACAATACACAAACTCTCTTACAAAGCTCTTTCATATAGTTTGATTTTTTTGTAAATGCAACTGAAAAACTGCATCTAAAATTGAGTAACATAGTATGAAGGTTTCTCCATGCACTATTCAATTTTGTACACATAGACCTTTTTCAACAGCATTTACAAAAAAACTGAACTTAAAAGAGGAGTTTTATAAGAAGGCTGACTAGGTAGAGTGGAACTCCAGATTTCATAAGCATCGAATATCCTACATTCTGGATTTAGACCACTTGTTTGGGTGAAATTTTGGTCCAGATTTCGTACCTCCACCCAGAAATTGTATGTATCAGACACATCCGTCTGCCTGCCCGGGACACTGCCACTCATGCGTATGTCTCTCAGTCTGGCTCTGTCACTGGTTGAGTATTACTTCATGCGTTCATCCGAAACATTTTCGAACAGCAACAGACCACAGTTGGGGAAATTGCTTCAAAGGAGGAGGAAGAGAGAGGGAAGAAGGTGCCTTCTTCAGTGATTGAGAACATTTGTGCAAAATGGAATGAGGTGCAAACTTTTGTGGAAAGATATCACCCTGATCAAGCTGATACAAGGCACATCTGCAACACATTCAGTGACAATACCTTGTCCCATTTTAGGCAAATCTTAGAGACACCAGAAACAGAGCTCTCTGGACAGATTTTTAGTGCAACAGGGGTCCAGTGCCAGTAAAAGACAAAGAAGGGAAATAACCCCGGATAGGGCTTTGATACCTGAAGTCCTTATGGAGGGGGGATCCCTTTCCCAACAATAAGCTCTCCTCTCTCTCTCTCTCCTCCTCGCCTTCTTCCATATACCAACAGGAGTCTTCAATAAAGGTATATAACAGTGATTTAAATGTTCATTTATCCATTTTATTAGTGCTTTATATTTATTTCTCATTGTTTTCTGAATGTAAAACTATAGTTGCTCTTTAAAAAATGCATTTTTAGTTAATATTTTTGGGTATCTGGAACAGATTAATTGTATTTACATTATTTCTTATGGGAAATATTACTTCGGTTTTCATATTCTTTTCATCAACTATTTTTTTTTAATTCACTTTCAGATTTCTCTCTTTGCATATCCTTTTCAAGCTCCAATATCAATCTTTGCAGTTTCTCTTCCAAATCTCACAACAGCAATGTGTCATCTCCCTTTTATATCGGATTCATTACCTTGGAATACCACATCTTTCCCTGACATGAGCATTTCTTTTGTGATCACTTCACCATTCAACAGTAAAGAAACTTAATTTGAAGTTTCTGTTTGTCCTAGATCATTAAGTCACAACCAGATAATGGTCCAATACAAACCAAAATATCATCTTTCCAATTGAAGGTTAATAATGAATTGTTCCAGCCATTGCATTAAAACTTTTTTTCTTGTATGAACACGTTAAAGAACAATGGAAAATTACACATTTCTGTCTAAGGTCAACTTTTACTGAAAAACAATTACTTTCTTTCCAACACACCCTAACTGGAAGATCACTTGCATATAAACTATTTACAACTTTCAATGATTTACATCAACCCTCCTTCCCTTTTCACAAGCAGAAATATCATCAATCAATACAGTACAAATAAAAGTGGCTGAAGATTTTATCTACCTACACAGTAAAAAAAAAATTATTCAGCAAAAGTATGAAATTAGTTCTAACAGTAACAACAACACGAATGTATAAAATATCTAATTTAGTATGAAACTACAGCACCAATTGCAAAGCTACATGTACTTTGCAACTACAAGCAACGGTAGGATGCATGTCAAACAAGTGAGGTATCATTGTCATACACTGACAGTTAAGTAATGAAGATAACATGTAAAGACCTAACCTAGCACAGGTTACTTAGTTATGAATGATGTTCTCACTGCACTCATTCTGATAATGTGTTATGACTATCCGAAATAGTTTAAAGAAAAGAAATTACTTTTTCATTTTAACAACTGATACAGTAGTCAAACTTGTTAACTTTAAATTGAAAGGGTATGTTTTTAACCATCTCATTGTGTAAAAATTAATAAAATGAATTTGATACATACCAGATAGTGTGCTTTCACATTTCTTCAGAACTGAGGCAGACAACTGTAAGACTAAACAAGCTAATGTACAGTACAGAATACCATACTATCAAAGCACATGATATTACTCTATCATGTGTATTTTATACTTAGAATCAAATCACACAACACAAAAAATCCTATATATATTGTACTTAGAATCAAAGCACACAAGACTAAACTACCTTACATACAGTATTTCATTAATAAAAATTGAAGTACACATGACTGATCACTACAAACTTTCAAAATTATTACTACATTTCTTAACACAGCTACATGGTATTCATTCATAAGTTATTATTATTATTATTATTATTATTATTATTATTATTATTATTATTATTATTATTATACAGTATTCACAAAAACTAGACCCCTATGGGTTATTCAGCACTGACCTCAAAGTCTAAAATTCTTCACTTACAGAATCATTATTTTCCTACGCTGCATTATATTGTACAAATTTACCGGTAATAAAAAAAACATGATATTCTCTTCCACATTACTCTTCCTCTCAATGGCAACTAATAACCACACATCACAACTTTCACAATTAAATGTAAATAATTCTTTTTTAAACATCAGTCATCACCCATCAAGGGAGGGAAGCTCTAAAAAAATGAAATGCATTCACTGTTATTCAGTGATTTGCTGTTTTACCTGAAGTGTACAGACATCACAATTCAAAACAGATATTTAACTTTAAATGTATAACTTAAATGCATGATTTTATATCAAAACACATATTACAGTAAAGCAGTTATAAGATTTTTTTGAAAGCATGAACAAATTAGTTTAATAATACATATTTTCTTGACTGGTAATTAACTTCTCCAGGGTCCGTCCCATAGTTCTATGGCGTTGAGGCCAGGTCCCAAGTCGTAGTACTACGTCATGAGCGCAGCTCACTCATAAGCTGTGAGCAGTAAATCTGGGCCTAAATATGAGAGAATGCATCTATGTGATAAGTGTGCACCATATAAAACAAATCCTGCAGCACACAGTACATAATGAAAACTGCGACCATGTTTTTGGAATAAAACAGCAACTTTGCAGTGTATTTTCAAATGATTTTTACAGTTGTATTCGTGATTTCTTGGTCTCATTTGATAGAATGGAGGATATGTTACAGAAATAGAGATAATTCTGATTGATTTTAGTACTGAAGAAAGCTTGAAACTGAGCTCAAAGTAGCGGAAATGTTCGATTTTTGCCGAAGTTCAAGAGTAAACAAATCACACCACGTGCCCAGTACACGTCAGCTGGTGGGTCTAATGTGCATTCACGAATGCACTGATATTATTTATACAATTATTACAATATTGCATAACAGAAAATCTCCTATTTTTTGGAGTGAATATAAATTCTTTGTGAAAAAAATCAAAATGAAATTCATGTGTAAAGCCTGGAAACATAACTAATAAACAGAGGAAATGTTATTTCAGTACCTGGAATGCCTGCATTGTTTATTCTGAACCCTATTTGGAAATTGGAATATTTTGAACTTTGTGTGAAATTGGCCAAATTCCAATTACTTTACTGGGTAGTTGAAATAGTTGATTGGGTGATTTCTTGTGCTCAATAGATAAAACCACATACTAGCAAAATAACTAAGAATTTGGTCTAATGGAACAATGTAATTGGCCAAAAACAGGACTCAAAGTGGGCAAAATTGTAGATGTGTAAATATCACTGACACAGCAAAATTTGCAAGAGTGTAATTTCATCAGTTTTCGTTATCAAATTTCATACTTTTTGTTTTATTACTTTCAGAAAAAGATTCTCTACCATTTCATAAGAAAAAATAATTTTTTTTTTTAAAATTCTTGGACCCTGTGGGGAATTTTCCGATTGGGAGTCTGGACCCTCAAAGGGTTAAGCATACATATGTCATCTTCATAAAGTTCAGATGTCATGATGCATTATATGGTAACAACCAAGAACAAAGCCAATGTAGATTTCCTTCCCTTCATGCAGTTTTGTTTTGTGTAAATGCACTAATGTTTGCTATCCTATTTCTACTGGTAATTCCATGTGATATACAACTGCCATATGCAAGCAGTATGATTCACAAAACACACTGAAGATTTTTATAATGCAGAATTAAGTGCTGATGATCTGATTGCTATGGAGTGCATTTACTGCATCAAGTAAGGAGCACCTAACTCACGAAATCGTATGTGGTATGGTAAGGAACACCTATACTCATAAATGTACCAGTGCCAATACCGTAACAAGATGACCTATAGGTAAATTACAAATTTATTATAATACAGCATAATTTTTGATTGACAAAATTTGTTATCTACCACTGTTATTTATATAGGCAGAACATTTGAATCTCAGATGATCTGCTACACTGAAAAGATCATTTTTTTCCGCACTGGTTGTAATATTTTTTCTGCATTAGGCATATTACTATCCTCTGTAAAGTAGGGCCCCAGCTGACGTAAATGCATTTCCAGAAATTTATGGTAGGTCAGTTGTTTGGTACTTAGAACCTATTTTCCCATGAGATATAATTTAAAATGGATTAATTTATTCCCAAGTCCTAATTCTCAGTATTTAATGACTCACGAAATTGTAATGACACGATTGCAAACAAACCATACCACGGGCGGGATTTAATTTCCGTTAAATTTTCTCACAAGAATTTTTACCAAATCTTTTACCTTCAACATGCTTCTGTTAATTGCATATACAGTGGACCCCCAAGTTTCGTGATTAATCCATTCCAGAGAGCCTGCCGAAAGTCAAAATTGCGGAATGGCGAAACCATTTTCCCCATAAGAAATAATGGAAATAAAATTAATCCGTTTCAGAGACCCAAAAATATTAAAATAAAATATTTTTTTCAAGTTAAATAAAGATTTACATACTGAAAACAATGAGAAATCAAGTACATGCATATAAAAAATAATATTACACTTACCTTTACTGAAGACTTCTGGGTGGATGGAAGACGGGAGGAGGGGATAGAAGGAAGGTGTACACTATTGTTTGGAAGGAGAATCTCCTTCCGTTAGGACTTCAGGTATGAAGTCCTTATCTGGGGTTACTTCCCTTCTTTGTTTTTTAAAGACACTGGCACTGGGAACAACTTGAGAGTCACTGGAGCCCTGTCGCACAAAATATCTGTCCAGAGAGCTCTGTTTCTGGCGTTTCTTTAAGATTTGTCTGAAGTGGGACACGACACTGTCATTGTATATGTTGCCAATACGGCCTGCAACAGCTTTGTTAGGGTGAAGTTCATCCATAAATGTTTGCACTTCAGTCCACTTTGCACAAATGTCCTTAATCTTTGAAGGCACCTTCCTCCATCTCTCTTCCTCCTCCTCCTCTGCAGCAGTTTCCTGAGCTGTGATCTCTTGCTGTTGCAGATGAAGCTCTTGCAGCTCTTCAGTGGTTAGCTCTTCCCTGTGGTCCTCCACCAACTCTTCCACATCCTCACCACTCACCTCCAACCCAAGGGACATCCCCAATGTCACAATAGATTCCTCACTTTCTTTACCAAAGGGCTTGCACTAGCTTTTCTTGGGTCCATTGTGACTTATTTAGCAGTTGCAATCACAAAAAACAATGGATTATTATGTATGAACCTGCGGGGTGTTGGTCACGTGTTGGTAAACAATGGCACACTGAGCGTGAATGGCGTGGGAGACTGGCTTTGTGTGTGCGGTGATGGGCAGACGGGTACCAGACGGTCGCCGAATCACGAGTCTAATCACAAACTGCGAGGCCAAATTTTGCCAAAAAAAACTTGCCAAAAGTCGGATTTCACGAAAGCCGATGCCGCCGAAACTCAAGGGTCCACTGCACATCACCTCAGTCAGAAATTTTCTTTTCGATGGCAATACCACTACTCTTGTAGTTTCCAGTCATGATGAACATTTGGTTCCAAGGTATTCTCAAAAAAAATACAAGTCAGGTCACTTGTTCATAAGAAATTAATTTGGTCCAAAATGTCAATGTCATTAGTGAAAAGACAAAAAAAAAAGAATCTTGTAAGTCACAGCCCTACCATATGCTGAATGAAGGCGTAATGCTGCAGTAGAGTAGGGCCCCACTTTACGGCGTTCCACTAATACGGCGATTTCAAATTACGATCAAAACTTGCTATACGACTCCCCGTCTTCCTAATATGGTGCGCCCCACCCGGTTTGTTTACATTTTTCGTGAGCACATCTCTATTGTGTCAGGAAACTTTCCAAAATTTCAAGTGTTTTAACCCTTTGAGGGTCAAGAGGCCCTCTCCCAAACTTGTTCTCAGGGTTGAAAAATTTTCGAAAAAAAAAAAAAAATTCTTACGAAATGATAATCTTTTTCTGAACATAATGACACCAAAAGTGTGAAATTTGATGGAAAACCTATGGAAGTTAGCAATCAATGATATTTACACAATGGCAATTTTGCCCATTGTTAGTCCTATTTTTGGCCAATTCCAATGCTCCGGTCAACTAAAATCATAGCTATTTCACTAGAACTCCATTTGTTTTATCGATTGAATACCAGAAACCTCCCATTTACTTATTTCAACTACCCAATAAAGTGGTCAGAAAATGGCAATTTGGCCAATTTCACACAAATTTCAAAATAGGGTCCAAAATAAACAAAACAGACATTTCTGACACTAAAATAACATATTATCTGTTCATTAGTCACATCTCCAGGCCCCTCTTACATTACTTTTGCTTTCCATGTTGCATTTTTATTCTCACAAAAAATAGAAGATTTACTGTTACGTATACAACTGCAGCATTGCAAAAACAGTATAAACAATATCAACGCACTTGTGAAAGAATATTAGACTCACCAGTTGATGTGTATTGGACTTGTGGCATGATTTGTTTACTCTTGAACATCAGCAAAAATCGAACATTTTTGCTACTTTGAGCTCATTTTCAAGGTACTTGTCATCGTGAAACCAAACAAAATCATCTCTATTTCTGTAATATATCTTCCATTCTATCAAATGAGACCAAGAAATCAAGAATACAACCATAAATACCATATGAAAATACACTCGAAAGTCACTGTTTTAAACCAAAAACACGGTCGGAGTTTTTTTTTCTTGTTATGCACTGCGTGCTTCAGGATTTTTTTATGCTGTGCACACTGACCACACAGACCCATTCTTTCATATGTAGGCCTGCCAGCTTTCTTCCACCAAATTTGAAGGCCCTGGAATTTACGCGTACAGGTATGTGACCGACCCTGCAATGACGTACAAGTACGTGACCGACCCTCAAAAGGTTAAAGTTATTGCATATTTTATATGTACTCTGACAATTATACTTATGTGTACCTGTACCTGTACCTTTTAATGTGCTGGCATGCAGGTGCACATTAAAATCACTAAGAGTCTCTATTCTCTTGACACCATATTAATAATAATAATCTTTTGGGTGCATTAAATGTCGTATATTACGTTAATATAGACATTTCCATTAATCCATCTATGATATTTTTTTCAAAATTATATAATAAACATGGTACATAACATATAAACATGATAAATCCCCCCACAGTAGAATAAATTAACATAAATATGAGATGTTGTAGCCAGGCGACTTGTAGGAGTGATGGCAAGAATAACGTTTTCTCTACTCCAACATCAGAGAAAATGTGTACACCATAATATTACTGGGGGGTAACTAGAAAATTATTCCTTTCGTATGCCTTCACTCAGTCATTTCTTCTAAAAACGGTGTTACATGAGAATGGGAGTGTTTCTCTTTATTTATTCTACTGTATCAATGTGGAGACAACTTGTACACATGTAAAGTGTTTGTAATATGTTATAATACAAACATATGAACCAAAACGTGTTCATCTAGTTTGTTTACATAACTCCACGTCTGTCCTCTCTCCTGTACTTACTCTCTCTCTCTCATTTATTCGTTTTATCTCATTTACTCACCTCTCACCCTACATTAACACTACAAATATTTTAAGGTAATTAATGAATGTACTGTATATGTATTTTATTGCTCTGGGGCACTCTAAATGTCATAGTATATTACATGTGGGTGGGGTGGGCTGCCATGGCTGGCAGGGCAGCCCATGTTAAGACCATGAATATTTTAAGGTAAGTAATGGGTGTACTGTGTGTGTATTTTACTTTTAATTGCCTTTAATGCCTAGTTCTATTGCTACCTTAATATATGTTAGTGTTAACTTGTTATCTGGCATTTATATGCATTTATAAGTGGAAAAAAATGGCATTCTGCTTTCTGGCAATGTCTGCTCTCCGGCGATATCCTGGAACCTAACCTGCCATATAAGTGGGACTCTACTATATCAATAAAAACCTCACTGCATTGCCTACTTACCATTTTTCTCTGTGTTAAGCATTAAAAAGGTTCATTATTTAAAATATTCTAAGTAAACATGAGAACAGAAAAAAAATATAAAATCACATACACATTGTAAGTTACACGTTGGTAATTCCAAAGTAAAACAAACATTTCAGCCAACTCAAAAAAAAAAATCTTGTGCACCTATACTTCTTACTTCACATAGGGATTAAACCTAAGTTGTTTTAGAGTATAAGCTGAACACTCTATCACTCGCCTACAAGTTCAATACTACATTCAAGAAATAAAAAATTAAAAAGATGTGTAAATTTTATCCAACTATATGGCACCATGTAGTAAAACATGTTAAATAAACAAATTTCATGAAAATATATTTTGTGTGGAGAAATAGAAGACTTGGCTACATTTAGAAGGAAATACAATGATTGAAGAAAAGTTGTTAGCATATATCAATACAAAGAACCCTGAGTATAAATACAATTTAATGAGTTTTTACATTTATTTTAACTGTTTCAGCTTTATTTCCTGTTGTTATGAATTGTTTTATACCACAATGGCTATTTGCACCAAAACTCCTGGGGACTGAAATTAAGAGATAATAATAATCCATAACATAAAACAACAATTTCAGTTTTAATCAAAAATGTATCATTGGCCTAAATACAATACAGATAAATAAGACTAGATCTTGAACATCTAGGTACCATTAGTCTAAACTTATTAATACATTATTAAAAGCACAGAAAACACAAATACAAAACACTGCTTCATAAATCTATCAAATATGCCTTCTAAGACTAGCAAAAAAATTCATTACATGAAAAGATTGTTTTGAACTTTATTCTGCAACAAATTGCAACATAATTTTATAATACAGTAGTATGACACTATCCAAAATGTAATGCCTTTGCTGATCCTTGCAAGCACAGTATCTAAAAATAATTACCAGCAACCAAATATCTACAAGCTAACCTAATATGACTGAAAAAAAAAAATAATTTATCAGGTACTATCAGTCAACAATAAATAGTCACCAAAGAAGTGTTATATAATTTTGCACTTAATAATGAATTATTAATGATAAACATTTACAGCAACTGTAAAAAAGTATGTAATGAATGAAATTTTCATTAGTAAATCAATCAGTATAGTTCACACTAGTAATAATACTAAAATAAAATTACTTCAAACAACTTTCTTCTTATACTGTACTGTATAGAGCAGCCGTTTTCAACTGCTGGTCTGCAGAAATTTTCTGCCAGTCAGCAAAATGTTATTGCAGGTGCCTCAATCTTGAGTGGGACAGCGCAGCCTGCAACGATGAGTACAGATATACACTTTGTTTAGTGTTTAGTCAGTCTTGTGTCAAAAACACTTATTAGTCACTTCCCGTGTGTATTGTGTTGTAGTACAGCCTCTCCTCACTTAACAATGGAGTTCCGTTCCTAAGACCACATCGGTAAACAAATTCATCACCAAGTGAGGAGCATACTATAATGGTAGTGGGTTTGTGTCAACCATCTTCGATATTGTTTTAATGTCACCTTTGCACCATTTATAACATTTCTGGTATATTTTTAAATGTTTATACAGTAGTGTATTGTATATTATAATAAACAGAATAGAGGAAATCAGCTCTAATATACATTACTATTTAGGTATGCATACTGGTCAGAGAGCTCGTCGTAAGTCTGAGTCATAGGTAAATGAGCACGTTGCTAAGTGAGGAGAGGCTGTACAGTTAAATTTCTCTATAGCAGACACTGGTGGAAATACAATAAGTGTCCATTATGGAGGTAATGGTATATAAAAAACTGTTCAGATGAAACATTTATATACACTGAACATCTGAACAGTTTTTTATATATGTACCAATGCCTTCATAACAGACACTTTTTGCACCTCCACCTGTGTGCACTATAGAAAAGCTTCACTGTATTTAGAAAAGCAAATTATTTCTTGTGTCATTGTGTTGTAGAATTTGAAACCCTATAAAATGGAGACAAAAAAAAGGCAAACAGCAAAACCTTGTAACCTTTAAAAGCAAGAAAAATAGCCAGGAGAAAAGTAGTGACAACACTGAAAGTAAGACAAGCACGAGAGCTGGAAGTTTAAAAAAGACAAGGAAAATGAAATGTGTTGATACTTGAGAATGTGCAACAGCAACTAAGAAAAGAAAAGGAAACTTTGTTAGGCATTACAATAAGTAGTGCTTAACCCTTTCAGGGTTGGTGCCGTACTAGTACGGCTTGCACGCCAGGGTTGGTGCCGTACTAGTATGCATAAATTCTAGCACCTTCAAATCTAATGAGAGAAAGCTGGTAGGCCTACATATGAAAGAATGGGTCTATGTGGTCAGTGTGTACAGTATAAAAAAAATCCTGCAGCACACAGTGCATAATGAGAAAAAAAAAAAACTCCGACCATGTTTTTGGTTTAAAACAGTGACTTTGCAGTGTATTTTCATATGCTATTTATGGTTGTATTCTAGTTTTCCTGGTCTCATTTTATAGAATGGAAGACATATTATGGAAATTGAGATGATTTTGATTGGTTTCACAATCAAAAGTATCTTGAAATTGAGCTCAAAGTAGCAGAAATGTTCGATTTTTGCCACGCGTCCAATACACGACAGCTGGTGAGTCTAATATTTTTTCACAAGTGCACTGATATTATTTATACCATTTCTACACCATTTCTACATGAATGCAGTAATCTACATAACATAAATCTTCTATTCTTTGTGAGAATAAAAATTCAAAGTGGAAAGCAAAAGAAATGAAGCAGAGGCCTGGGGACGTGAGTAATCAACAGAGGAAATGTTATTTTAGTGCCAGGAATGTCTGTCTTGTTTATTCTGGACCCTATTTGGAAATTGGCATCTTTTGAAATTTGTATGAAATTGGCAAAATTGCCAATTTCTGACCACTTTATTGGTTAGTTGAAATCGGTAAATGGGTGGTTTCTTGTACTCATTCAATAGACAAAATGGAGTTCTAGCAAAATAGGTATGATTTTTGTCGACTGGTACATTGGAATTGACCAATAATAGGGCTCAAATTGGGCAAAATCGCCAATGCGTAAACATTATTGAGACTGCTAACTTTGCGAGAGCATAATTCCGTAAGTTTTCCATCAAATTTCATACTTTTGGTGTCATTATGATCGGGAAAAGATTCTCTATCATTTCATAAGAAATTTTTTTTTTTTTTTTTTTTTTTCAAAAAATTTCCGACCCTGAGAACAAGTTTAGGAGAGGGCCTGCCAACCCTGAAAGGGTTAAAGCTTGGTTTCACTGTAGCCACTAGCCCTGTCCACTGTGTGTAGTATGTTCCGAAATTCTATCAAATGATGCTATGAAACCTTCTAAACTGGCTTGTCCTTTACATTCTAAGTATAGCAATCTTATAGATAAGCCACTGGATTTTTTTTGAAAGATTACACAACCAGATAAAAAGTCAGAAAATTCAAATGAAGATGACGACTAGTGACAAGTCACTGCTTCAAGCATCTAATTTAGTGGCTCTTGAGTTTCTAAAGCGAAAAAAACATTCACTATCGGTGAAGAGTTCATAAAGGCTTGCATCTTAGATGTTGCTCAGGAAATTTTGGGTTCTCGAGCTGCTTAAAAACTAGAGGCTATACCACTTTCAGACAACACCATTCATAGAGAATTGTTGGCACAGCCGAAGATATTGAAGAGCAAGTTGCAGAAGGTATAAAGAAACTGAGATGTTTTGTGATTCAACTTGATGAATCAACTGACATGAGTAACAATGCTATCCAACTTTGCCTTGTGAGGTATAGTGAAGATGAAGACTTAGGGGAAGAACTTCGTTGCCTTGACTTACCTGGATGGACTGCAAGTTTGATGAGTATTTTTAAGTGCAGGGCTTAGACTGGAGCAAATGTGTCAGTGTGTACGGACGGTGCTGCGAGCATGATGGGACAGCGCTCAGGTGTAGTAAAAATAAAGGACGTTGCTCATCCAGAAATTTTGTCCACTAACTATATGATCCACTGGGAGCACTTAGGTTCAAAGAAGCTTTCTACTGAGCTAAACACTGTGATGAATGACACGGTGAAGATCATAAATGAAATCCATAGTTGAGCTATGAACTCCAGGCTGTTCACAAATCTGTGTGAGAGTATGGACTCGCCATACCATCATCATCATCTCCACGCAGAAGTCAGGTGGCTACTGAGAGGAAAGGTTCTTTCATGCCTTGCCGAACTGAGTGAAGAAGTAAAGCAGTTTCTGCAAGAGCAAAACTCTAACTTAGTAGAACATTTGTTGGATGAGGAATGGATAGCTAAGCTTGTATATATTTAGCCTCCTGAGCAAACTTAATATTTCTCTTCAAGGGTTTTGCACAAATATTTTTACACTGAGAAATAAGACTGATGCATTCAAAACAGAAGCTGGTGTTTTGGGATAACTGCATACAAGAGAAAGATACAGAAATATTTCCACTTTTGCAAGAATTTTTGGTTACTGCTGTCAATCAAAAAGTCATATTCAATATAATTACTCAAAATTTAACCCCTAAACGGTCCAAATGTATAGTACAGTGGACCCTCGACCAACGTTGGCATCGTCTAACGTTAAATCCGACTAGCGATACATTTTAACGTAAAAATTTTGCCTCGACAAGCGCTAAAAAACCCAACCAACGCTATTCGTTCCGTTCGAGACACGTCCACTTTGGCCTGAGCGCACCTCACTTGTCCCTTGGGTGCCAGTGTTTACAAGCCAGCCAGCCACCATGGTCCCATCCAAACATACAATCCGAACATTTCATATTATCACAGCGTTTGTAGTGATTGCACCTGCAAAATAAGTCACCATGGGCCCCAAGAAAGCTTCTAGTGCCAACCCTACAGCAAAAAGGGTGAGAATTACAATGGATATGAAGAAAGAGATCACTGCTAAGTATGAAAGTGGAGTGCGTGTCTCCGAGCTGGCCAGGTTGTACACAAAACCCCAATCAACCATCGCTACTATTGTGGCCAAGAAAATGGCAATCAAGGAAGCTGTTCTTGCCAAAGGTGCAACTATCTTTTCGAAACTGAGATCGCAAGTACTCGAAGATGTTGAGAGACTGTTATTGGTGTGGATAAATGAAAAACAGATAGCAGGAGATAGCATCTCTCAAGAGATCATATGTGAAAAGGCTAGGAAGTTGCATGACGATTTAATTAAAAAAATGCCAGCAACTAGTGGTGATGTGAGTGAATTTAAGGCCAGCAAAGGTTGGTTTGAGAGATTTAAGAATCGTAGTGGCATTCATTGTGTGATACGGCATGGTGAGGCTGCCAGTTTGGACCACAAAGCGGCTGAAAAATATGTGCAGGAATTCAAGGAGTACATAGACATGGCACAGCTACTGCAAGCCGTGTTGGCAACCTGCACACTGACAATGTTGTGAAACACTTTAGAAATGTCATAAAGGAATGGGAGGTACAGGCCTCTATGGACAGATATGTTGTGCGACAGAGGTCCAGTGACTCTCAAGCTGGTCCTAGTGGCATTAAAAGAAGAAGGGAAGTAACCCCGGAAAAGGACTTGCCACCTCAAGTCCTAATGGAAGGGGATTCCCCTTCTAAACACTAGGACCATCAACACTCCCCCTCCTCCCATCCCATCAATCATCACCAGATCTTCAATAAAGGAAAGTGTCATGTAACTGTGCATGTCTTCTTCAGTTTGTGTGTATTAAAATTAATATTTCATTTGGTAAAAACAATTTTTTTCATACTTTGGGGTGTCCTGCACGGATTAATTTGATTTCCATTATTTCTTATGGGGAAAATTAACTTGACTAACGATAATTTTGACTAACGATGAGCTCTCAGGAACGGATTAATAGCGTTAGTCGAGGGTGCACTGTATATACGTTCTTACTGCTAGTGCCCCAAACGTAAATATACGTTTCATTTTTCATTCCTTCATAATTGGCGCGATAGGCCTGAGTCGCCTAGACATGAGAGAATTGGTGTGCACACTCAGTGTGTGCCTTATGAAAAAAAATTGGGGATGCCTGGGTACTGCACAGTAGGTCCAGTTATATTCAGCTCCATCTTGGGTCAACATCATGGCACATCCTCGTGATTCACTCACGCCTCGTCGTATTAACACACTATTATTCGAGGAAAGTGTTATAGATCGTGAGTTTAGCGGATTTGACACCAATGGGGCCACTAATATTCAAGGAATTAGTGAAAATGTCGACGATAAGCCAGATGACCCTCAGTCTCTCGCCTTTGGGGTGGCCACACCAGACCCTGGGCCAAGCACCTCTCGGGTAGCCAGTGTGGCCACAGCAGACCCTAGGCCAAGCACTTCTGGGGTGGCCAGTGTGGCCACACAAGACCCTGGGCCAAGCACCTCTGGAGTGGCGAGTGTTACCCATAGGCAGGGTGTAGCAGGGAGTGTTGAAGGAAGGCAGGGTGTAGCAGGGAGTGTAGCATGGAGGGAGGGAGTGTAGCAGGCAGGCAGGGAATGTAGCATGGAAGGACGGAGTGTAGCAGGGAGGCAGGCAGGGAGTGTAGTAGGGAGGCAGGGTGTAGCAGGGAATGTAGGAGGAAGGCAGGGAATGTAGCAGGGAAACAGGGAGTGTGGAAGGGAGGCAAGGAGTGCAGTAGGCAGGCAGGGAGTGTAGCAGGGAAACAGGGAGTGTGGAAGGGAAGCAGGGAGTGTAGCAGGGAAACAGGTAGTGTGGAAGGGAGTCAGGAAGTGTAGCATGGAGGGAGGGAGGGAGTGTAGCTGGGAGGGAGGGACGGAGTGCAGCAAGCATGCAGGGAGTGTAGTAGGGAAGCAGGGTGTAGCTGGGAGTGTAGCAGGCATGCAGGGAATGTAGCATGAAGGAAGGGAGTGTAGCAGGGAGGCAGGGAGCATAGCAGGCAGGCAGGGAGTGTAGTAGGGAGGCAGTGAGTGTAGTAGGGAGGCAGGAGGAGGGCAGGGAGTGTAGCAGGCATGCAGGGGGTGCAGCAGGTAGGGAGGGAAGTAACCCCAGAGAGGGCTTTGATACCTGAAGTCTTATGGAGGGGGATTCCCCTTCCAAGCAATAATCAATCCTCTCACTCTCCTCCTCCCTGTCTTCCACAAGCCAACAAGAGTCTTCAGTAAAGGTATGTAATAGTGATTTATGTTCATTTATTTATTTTATTTAGTTCTCACTGTTTTATGTATGTAAAACTACAGTGGACCCTCAACCAACGATATTAATCCGTTCCAGAGAGTTTATCGTTAGAAAAATTTATCGTTAGCTGAATTAATTTTCCCCGTAAGAAATAATCGAAACCCAATTAATCCATTCGAGACACCCAAAAGTAAGAAAAAAAAAATTTCACATGAAATATACATTTTCCTACACAGAAAAAAGGATACATGCACAAAAAATACTGTACTAAATGAAGAATAAATGACACTTACCTTTATTGAAGATGTAGTGATGAGTGATGAGACACTGTTTTTCTTGAATAGCCAATACTGTAAATACCGAATTACAGAAAATATCTACCTGGATGAGGACTAACAAACTTACACTAAACATTGACAAAACCTACTTCATTCAGTTTGGTAACAGAGCTACAGATGTCCCTCTTAACATAATGATAAACGGATCACCTATCACAAAGCTAACAGAGGGAAAATTCTTAGGAATCCACCTTGATAATAGACTCAAATTTCATACACATATACAACAAATTTCTAAGAAAATTTCCAAGACTGTAGGCATACTATCGAAGGTACGGTACTATGTTCCACAGTCAGCCCTCCTGGCCCTATATCACTCTATTATTTACCCCTATCTCACCTATGGAATTTGTGCATGGGGCTCAACAACAATTAACCATCTCAGACCACTAATTACCCAACAAAAGGCTGCAGTTAGAATGATAACAAATTCTCACTACAGGCAGCACACTCCACCAATATTCAATACACTAAACCTACTCACCATACAAAACATCCATACTTATTACTGCACCTATTACATACATAGAACACTTAACTCTGATATTAACCCTCCCCTCAAACATCTCCTTGCCAACCTCAACAGAACACATGACCATAACACAAGGCACAGATCACTCTTTGATGTTCCTCGTGTCCATTTCACACTATGCAAAAACTCAATGCACATAAAAGGCCCTAAAATCTGGAATTCATTACCTGTAAATATAAAAGAAACACTACCTGTTTATAAATTCAAGTCTCTTCTCAAAGATCACTTACTCACCCAAAACCAAATAAATACTGAATAACTGAACCTTATAAATTGTATATCTTAAATGTTTCTCACAATTATATCATATAAATGTTAAACCTAAAACCCAATCTAACTTTATTATTTTTTAAATACACTACCTAACAGAATACTCCATACGACTGAATGTACAACAATGCATGCAACCATATGACCTGTCTTTGTAATACTCATTTGTGCTTTATAGTTATCTGTTTACAATAATGTATTATCACTGATTTCATCATTGCTTAGTTAATTTTAAGCCAGCCCGTAATGCTATGCATAGTATAAGTGGCTTTGGCATGCTGCTCTTATCTGTATTTTTTTGTACCTCTGTATGTATGCTCAAATTGTTAATAAATAAATAAATAAAAAATAAATACATGAGTAAAAAGGCTTCACTTTGCAATCCCCACTAGCATTACAACAAAACATGAGAGTTAGCCTGTTTTTCATAGGCTTGTGTCCTGGGAGTGCCTTTTCCTTCTGAGTAATGTAGGTCCTGTTTAACATTTTCTTCCAAAACAGGCCTGTTTTGTCACAATTGAACACTTGTTGGGGTTGGAATTTTTCAGCTTCGCCATGCCTTATAACACTGTGTGTGCCACTATGATTCTTAAATCTCTCAAACCAACCTTTGCTGGCCTTAAATTCACTAATATGAGGACTAGTTCTTGGCATTTTTTTCCTGTTCATCTTGATGTTAGTCGACTGGTGTGGGTCGCATCCTGGGGACAAGATTAAGGACCCCAATGGAAATAAGTTACAGTCCTTGATAACGCACTGACTTTCTTGGGTTATCCCGGGTGGCTAACCCTCTGGGGTTAATTGTTTCTCTGTAACTGTTTCTCGTTAATCCACACCAACAACAGTTTCTCCACATCTTCAAGTAGTACAGCTGATGGTGGTGCAGCAGCAGCCGACGGTGGTGCAGCAGTAGCTGACCGTGGTACAGCAGCAGCTGATGGTGGTGCAGCAGCAGCTGACTGTGGTGCAGCAGCAG